AAATGGATAAATGTTTTGGTCCTTTTGCGCAGTTGGGTGTAGACAGCATTGCAAATAAATGAATAACTTACACGTGTAACAACAAGGATAAATCTTTGAAAAATGTTGAATCAAAACAATATATAACTTTTTATAAAACTGAAGGCATGCAAGATGGTATATAATTTGGAGCTATGTAAGCATGTAATGAAATCACACACACAATACACACACAGAGGAAAAGTGTGAGAATGATAAACACAGACGTTGGTGGTTACCTTTGGGTTTGGAAAGGCAGATAGAGGAATAGGTGAAGAACACCTGGACAGATAGGGTGTTAGTTCTGACCTGTTTCTTACTTTGAGTGGTGATGTTAAGGGAGTTGGTTATTATTGTGCTTCATTGTGTGTGCATGTTAAATATGTTCTTTATATTTGCCAAATTAGGTCAAAGTAGATTCATAGCTCTTGAGTTCTGCAAATATCTCTTGTGTTATTTCTTGAATTATTTTCTGCGTTTTTTTCTTATATCCTTTTTTTCTTATTTTCAAGAGAAGCCAGAATTCTACAGTTTTAGAAAATACCTCCTACTTTTAAGGTTTTTATTGATAGAGGAAAAAACCCTTCGAATGTCAAACAGAATTGGTTTATGGACCTGATTTTGTACATAAGCCTCCGGTTTTCTATGGGGTCCTTATCCTCTGGTTCTCCTCTTAGTTCATTTTCTGTAGAGAAGGACTTCCCGGAGGTCGTTTTTCCCCGGAGGAAATGGCTTGTCTGGTGGGTGTTAATGGATGCTGGTGGAGGGGGATCCTTCATTGTACACTTGGGGCTGTTTTCACATACCAGTGTGCTGGCGCCTGCTCACGTGGACCTGAGGATTGTTAAAGTGTCAGGAATTTTGTGAGCTGGTTTTGAACAACCACGTACATCTTACGATCCATCATTGTGGCAGTATCAGTAATAGTACAAATCAGAACATATCCTTCCTGTTTGATACCACTTTCCCCTCTTGCCTCCTGTTGCATGTTCATTTTTCGCAGCTGGAGTATCCTTCTCTGGGTTCTAAAGGGTGAATGGACTTTGTTCTTGGCCACAGTGGCTACTGTGCTCTGCTTGTTTTTCATGAAAGAGTCTATAAGGAACTTAAAGGCACTGGATGCATTTGAAAGCTGTTCTATTAAAATAGAGATGAGAAAGAAGTTCTGTATGTTGAGTCACTAAATTGCTTACTTTACTGTTCCTAACTTCTTAGAAAGCGTCTTCTTAAGAAGTAACCCCAAAATTCTACAGCAAAATTTAATTCTTTTGCTCTTTTCAAAGGAAAAAAAAACTTAAATGGCTTTTCTTTTGGAGATATTTTATTCTAAAGAAATTCTCAGGTTTCTCAAAAGTTGATCATTGTTACAAGTCCCCACTGTCCCCTTCAAGTATGAGATGTCTGGGCAGAAAGCAGTAACTGACTACTTTGAAATGTCGTGCATTAGCAAGTCAGCATGGATGTGCAGACATGAGATTATCCTGGTCTAATAACTGACTGCTCTTGTTCCTCAACTTT